GTGTAAACTTGTTTAATAAACCATATCTTTCATTTTCGATTTTTAATTCACGTAGTCCGGGAACTTTCCGGACAAACTGTGTATATGTGTGACGTATATACTGACGTCATTGTTATGACGTTCAAAATAACGTCAGATTTAGGTCATAATCACCAATTAGTGACAAAAATCACGTATATTTACGTCATTACAACGTCAGCTGGTTGCTTGGGATGCGACAGAAAGAATCCTTTGAGCGGATGAGTCTTAGTCACACTTCCACGTCATTAATCAAGAATTTATCCTGATTGAAAACGTCGCAATGTAGATGTCCTATGAGATCCACAGCCCGGTTATTTTTGAAATACTGCATACGTCTCACAAGAGCGGGGTTCTCAGGTGGAGCATCGAACCTGGCATCTAACAGACCCGGAGGATCGCTATCCCATAAACAGGTGATGAGATGAGAGGATTTTGCCTTTGAAAAATAATTCAACAATGTCTCGAAATAGGCTCGATACGCGTAAGCATTGTTCGGAGGCGACACAAGCTTCTAATTGAAGTACACATCGATTTGATTGAATATGGAATGTAAAAAGGTATTTACAGGCCCTACTTTATGCTCTGCAGCAGAAGCTGTAGCCCAAGTAGGCGGAGTAGCCGCTGTTTTAACGGGGGCAATATTACGCGAAGACTGAAAAGAGTATGCGCGAGATCTATGTAATCTTCACCATGTCCCGGTACGACAAACTCAACGGGAGCGTCGTCCGCAAAAGTCAACAAAGATTTGTAATGAATTCATTGCGAACTCTCAATACTGGTCTGAGTGGGCGGTAGAGTGAAAAGATCAAGTTCGGTTTTGAAACACTCACACGAGTGAGTATGGAGAAAAGACATTTTGCTTCGTCTACGAGAATATATCGCTCACGGTTCGTTTCGTGCTCACGCGGCGTTTGCTAGTTTTTGTTGCGCGCTTCTTCTTCTTTTTCTTCATCTTCTAAATTCCTCTACTCATTTAGCGTTTAATTGCTCGAGTTTTCTTTTTTCCCCGCACGGAAGCTGATTTCTTGTTGGTACTACTAGCATAACGGCGACGCTTGATCGCAAAGTAAACAAGGAGCTCACCAGGGTCAAATTGGCCCGGGCGTTTCTTCGCAAGGGGTATATATCTTGACTCTCGCATTAAGCTGGTTATTTTTTCTTTTGCTTGTTGTTTGAGATTGTCACGTGATTCTTTGAAACGACTGTTACCTGCTTCTTTTAGCGGAATATTGATATCCCTTGTCTATTATTCTCACACCGGCGCGTAGAGCTTTTTTTTCGATCGCGCGCGCTAAGCTAGCCAGGTAGGAAAGCACTCTCCTGAACAATCCGCCGAAAAAGTTTCCGATACCGTGACCACGCTGATACGTCGATCCCGTGAAAACTCTCGGAATGCCGCCCCCGCTCTGCATTTCGTAATATTCCATATAATGAGCCATTCTAATCGAATACGCGTCTAAAATGTAACGTTAAGTGTAACCGTCAGAGATGCCAGTTTTAAGACTTTGCAGCATGCAGCAGCAAGTGGAGAGGATAGGCACACAGTCGAACAGCCGTGTACGTGTGCGCTCGGCGCTTCGGCCAACTTCGAGCAGTAGAAGAAGACGGACATACATAACCGCTCTCTTTCTTTCGCTGTAGCGATAGCTATAGCTAACACTGCCAATCGCGAGAAGCGTGCCTAGTTGCTAGCCTGTTTCTCGTGCATGACTCGTATGTTTCTTCTCTCTTCCTCCTTCTTTCTTTCTCTCGTACTTACATGAGCTGCGTTTCGATCTTTATTGCCGGCACTGGAAATCTATAGCACACGTGACGTAAAGTATAGATTTGTAGTATTGACAGTGAATATCGGAATGGCTAAAAAAATCTGAAAATTAATGGAAATATAAAAATATAAAATATATATATATATATATATATA